GACTATCTTGCTGAGCACGGAGGTGACCCTGACCTAGCTGTCCCCCAGCATACACATGCCGACCAAACCTGTCCTACCGCAGCCTCGTCGCGCCACAGACCCAGACGGGAGAGGCGGAGGAGGGATGATAGGAGTGGTGACTGATGGCCGAAGGAAGGAAGCAGACGGCTGGGAGGTCAGACTATGAGCGCACGGCTGCAGAGAGGCACAAGGTCCCCTGCAATGCACGGCATGGACTGGCGGTACATATAGGGACAAACTGGAAGTACTCAACGGGATATGAGCCAAATGCGATGTTGCTACATAGAGCTACCGCAAGCAGGGATCCAAACGGAGTAAGGAATGCCCATTGCCCACCCTCGCCCACCACGGGAGCTGACCTCCAAGGCGACCTGGGTGCCGCCACCGCCAGCCCAGACCGGTTTGTTATTCCAGGGCGCACGTCTCACGACTGGGGCGTGCGACGGTGGCGCTGTCACCCGACCTTGAATCATTTGGTGGAGCGGCGACGATCGTCGTTCTCCGACGACACGAGCGAAGAGGCGGGGCGGGGGGAGGGAGGAGAGGAGACGGTGCGGCTCGGGGAGGCGGCTGTGGGGAGGGGCGGGGAGGAGGGACGGGAGAACTGCGACGAACACCCGTGTGAGCCGCGCGCTGTCTGTCCGTCTGCTGGTGCTCGCCCAAACAGTGGGTACCTGCAGGGGCGGTACTTCAGAGGGCGCCCGGTGCACCTGACGTCTTGCACAACACCGGCTGTGTTTACCCGCACCCCTGATAGCCGGAGATAGGCGGCCCGCAGCTGACAACTCACAGCATCCCTCGGCTGTGAGCGCTGAACTCCCTCGCTGGCACCACATGCTCCGCACATCGACAGTCGAGTCACATCTCCGCCTACGTGTATACCATCTCCACCCAGCCATGCAGCCTGTCCATCCCTTATCGATGTCTGGTCCCTTTCTCCCTCTGCAGTCGGCTGTGTTTTCCAAATATGTTCAGCGTTTCTCCACCAATTCGGTCATGGTACTGACCCCAAACAGCATTACAAATCGTCACGAAAGCCATGCGGGCGGGGTAGACAGATGAATGTGGCCCGTATGGTCATTTAAATGCATTAAAACCAGGTGGTATGAACGTTAGCCGCATGTAATGAGGTGGCGCTAGTTGGAACCACGTGACACGGACATTTCAGAGATCGCTCACCAGACATGTGAGACAGAAATAGTCATAACTCGGGTCTCGGGACGCTTCAAAACAACACCTACACAACAGAGAGCACCTCAGTCGTAGCATGCGACAACTGACAGGCCGTAAATAGCCACCTTCAAGGAGTCTCAGAGGTCACAACCTACGAATCCACTGCAAAGTCGGGTTGCGCACTGTGAGTGGCCAGTGCCCAGCAGGTGTTGTGGGGGCCTGTGGTTACCTGTGAACTGCTTATCCTCTCCCTAGAACGCCGTCTAGTCGCGAGTGGCACCTCGTGTCCTCCACTGAACGCACCACGCCGCGCCGACACCCACGGCCAGAGGCCCACTGACGGCCCCCGCGGCCCGCGGCCCGCCGTGCTGCCTCCACAGCGCGGCGCGGCGGCGACTGTGACGTCACCAGTGACGTCATCAGGCAGCCTCCGCTGCCGAGACGACGCGACGGGGGCAACCCGCCGGCTGCAGGTCGCAGAGCCGCCGCTTTACTGAAACGACAAACACTAAGGAAATTGACAGCTCTGTGGAAGCGCAACCGGCAACGATGACTGTTTGATGTGCTGCTGGTTGATTTGTGATTAACACTCAAGATTTATATCCAGTAGCGACGGGGAAAGATTTTCAGATCGGGTCCCATTCGATCGGATCATCTGCCTAGCACGGATATGATCGCCCCCGGCTGCGACAACTGTCAGGTGTGGAACGACGCCCCGCACCACCAGGAAAGTTACGGCGCAAAACCTGCTCTAGCGAGCGCGAGACTCGGCACAGCTTTCCTGGAATGCGGAATGCTGTGGATTGCGGATTTGCTGAATCACAAACGGACCAATGAAACTGTCCCCCGCTGCCCAGCTTTTACAAGGGTGCGAAATTACCTAAGGAAACGACAAAGCTCCTGCATTTACCGGAATATCGAAATGAATGAGTTTTGCAAGCGTTCAACTGTCGGAACGCCATGTACAACACACTTGACTTGTAGCATTTGTGGGGAAAGAGGTCCACGGTTCATTCAGTACCTAAACGTAAGCAACTCACGTAAAATGCCTTTACCTATGCGGTATGCCCAAATGCTGAATAGATTGCGCCCAGCAAGGCGGAGTTGGCAGCTAGGCAGGGCTATGCAGTACGCAACTCAGAACGAGATATGACTGCAATTATCTGCCTCTTCCTGGCTAGTCCGCACTGAGCCCCGAGCCGCGGTGCCGGCGTTTCCCCATCGCAGGGCCGCTGAAGGAGGCTGAGGGACTCGCTGTAGGAAGTTGTAGGCTCTTGACTGAGATCTGGAGCAGGAACCAGGAGGTGAGGACCAGTGACCAGCGCCGAGCCGCTGGACACGTAGACAGCGCTCGAGCGCTCTTCTCCCGGCACTAGGGAGACGGGAGCTATCAGCTCGCGATACCGGCCATCCAGCCGCCAGCCGGGCTGAGGGCTGCTGTCGAGCGGACCGCTGGGAGCCGCCCACTCGATCGTCAGTGACAGGGCCAACGTCCATTTGGTCCTCGGCAGAGGGCAGTCCTTCGTCCGCCCCCATAAAAAGGCCACCCGTGCCGGTTCTTCGCAAAGGCTGAGACCGTCTCAGTCTCTGGAATAGACACAGAATATACGATCGCCGGTTATCCTCGTCTGATGGATTTTTTTGACAGTGAGTGTTCGAGTGAAGGATGACGGTTGAGGAGCATGGTCATCTCGACGGAGTACTAAGAAGTGAGAAACATCGTGGCTGCTCAGTGTGGCCTTGTCAGAGATCAGCTACAAAGGTGTTGCTGCAGGGTCTCATAGCACCAAACACTCTCCCGGTCTCTCGATGAATGCGATAGCTCGGCCCGACGACGATAAATACCTACCAGCATCATACAGTACATTGACATACCATCTTGATCTATCGGCGGAGCTCGGCAAAAAAAGCGACGGCCGAACAACGGTCTTCCACCCACCTCGTCGTGGGGCAAAAATGAATGGATCCACCAGCAGTCAGCACCAGGGTATATTGTCAGCACCACGTGCTAGTGCATGTGCTACCGACCGATAATACCTACACATGAGCACGCCTATATAGGTATACCTACTATTTACTAAGGCAGATGTTTATGAATTAGGTAGGTACCAACTCAATCTAGTGAAACGTGAAAATATCCCGCATCATCTATCATGCAGCGCGCACACCAGGCAATTTTTTTTTTAAACCTTACCCGCCATACCTTTCAGAAGATTCTTGCCTCAGCGTTCCAAATTGGAATGCCCATGTCCCAGTAACAAGTTCAATTTGCGGCTGAGTGCACAGTGCACACCTGTACTGCACACCATTTCAATTTACTTACACCCAAGGCTATTGTAAAATGTAAACCCTGATCTATACATATACTCTGTGTAAACCTTACACCACTGAACTCTATAATGTGGAATGCGCATCGGCCGCCAAATGGTGTCCAACGGTGCCGCCATGTTGCGCAGACCAGAAAGCGGCCGCCGCCTGTGCTGGGGAATAGGGAATTCGGGACCTCGATTTACGTTTGCGGTCGCTGCATCCGTTACGCTCAAGCTATGTGGACACGGAACCCGGCATCTTACGCAGAATTGAGTGGAGAACAAGATGAAATCCTAAAAAATCCTCAGCTACAAGGAACTAATACGTTAAACCCTTATAAGTCAATGGGGAAATATGAAAATTGCTATTTTGGCGCCGAGAATGATCTGAAACTATCTCAAGCATATAGAATCATGATTTCATGCACTTTTTGCAAGGTTCTATGCTTCATATTTGCATTGTTGCCCTTGCGTGACGTCATCTGTGACGTCACAAGGGTCACAATTTTTCTTCAATAACTCCCGATCAAATTGAGCTAGCGAGTCGGGAAAGCCACCAATGGACTCAGGAAGACCTGCCGAATCGAATGATATGCGACATGACCTCTTTCGACCAACTTCGTGACCTGGGGGTGCTGACCTGACCTTGACCTGAGGTCAACACCCTAAGTTGACCTGACCCGAACAAAAAGTATATCACTCGATGCGCCTGAGCTAGCTGAACACGATGATGCCAAAATCGCGGCTCTACGACCATTTTTGGCGAAGCTATTTACCAAAAACCGAACCCGTGCCTTAGATCACTTGACCTGACCTCAGAGGTCACCGGTTGACCTGAGACCCTTACAGCGGGTTCCTACCATTCACTCTGCATTATACTTTGCCGCATACGACCACTTTACCGCTTAATTCTAGTTTAATTAGCGGTGCATTAGCGAGGTGGGTTCAATCAACCCCCTCGGCCGGGGCAAATGTAGGTCAGGCGAGTGAATTTGAGGAATTCTGAAGATACGATCGTGTTCCCCACTCAATTCTGCGTAAGATGCCGGGTTCCGTATCTACGTAACTTGAACGTAACGGATACGGCGGCCGCAAACGTAAATCGAGGTCCCGAATTCCCTATTCCTCAACACAGGCGGCAGCCGGTTTCTGGTCTGCGCAATATGGCCGCCACCGTTAGACACTACGGCCAATAGGGTTGAAGCGGCATTGCTCCCCTGTGCCTTACACTAAATAGCTACAAAACATGTAACCCTCTCTTGAGCGTATAAAAAGTCATAGTTACTTCTTTTGTTTATAGATGTCAGAGCGGTAGCTGGACGACTCGGACGACTCATAAACAGGCACGTCATTGTTCGAAAAGAAAATAAACGTTGTTATTAGTAAGCTGTTGCTAGGCAACTTGCTCTCCGAATGAATGATACCTAGTTTTATTGAGCAGTTGCTAGGCAACTGAGGACGGTAATGAGACATTGAACAGTACTGTTACCTATTTGCGTCATGTTTTGTCGCAAATGTTTTCTGTTGTGGAGTGCGACACATATGTCAGCATCATTTATTAGGTTAAACAAGTGAGAGAATGGGAACTTGTTGACAGAAATTTATAAAATTCATCTGGCTTGTTGTTTTCCTTATCGGTTGTGAATTCTCGCTGGTTTCCAATGCAACTGTGACACGCAAGTGAACTTTGACCAGACCTGCCCGCAGGAACGTGTTTCTAAATTCAACAATTATCAGATTTGATTTACGTCTTCAAGATGAAACATACCCGATAAAAATGCTCTTGAAATTGAAATGTGCTTGAATCCCCCATAAGCTCAGTGGAAGTTGAGTCTTACAGACATCTTGACTCAAATTAGATTGAGCTGAGGTGAGTTCAGTTTTCATTACAGCTTCTTTGCCTGGTACGTATTTTTACTCACTGCGGTTGTTATCTTTGGATGTTTATTCCTCACAAAATATAAACACCTGCTGTACATATCAACGTGTCATAGCTGCCACATGTTAAAATGCTTCAGGATGTACTTGTACCATCATAAGGGCTGTTCCGTCATCTTTTTCAACGGCTAGCTTTGCATTGTCTTCTATTATTTTGTTTTGTAGTCATTTAATTTTTGCATTGTCCTTAATTTTCTTAGTCTCTTTGGTGAACAGCTGAGCATGTAGGCATGCACTGTTCACCAAAGGGATATTGAGAGAAGTGCTAGTACTCGTAGGTAGCTTTCATTCAAAACATAACTAGCATTGTGCTGATAAGAATTGGCCTCACAATAAAAATTATATTATATTAAAAATTACAGCTTAAAAATTACAAGTCCAGTCCATGATGAGATGAGCTCTGTAAATCTGAAAATGCCACAATGGGATAGAATTGTAGCTAATGATTTTATCAATAGCTTAGATTTTTATCCTTGCATGCAATAGATACTAGCTAATATTATGGTCTTAGTGAATATTTCCCTTCGCTTAGGGGCATAAAAATAATTGTGTGAGATGCATTGGCACCTTCCACTGCTTAAGTCATCTTACAATTCCCCTTTTCACTTAACAGGAGCTCCAGGCAAGCAGCAACAGCAGCAACCATGAATGCCTCCCTGATAGCCTCCCTGAGTGTGCTGCTCACTGCAGCTGTGGTTGGCAATGCCTTCTACCAGAAGAAACAGTTCTACCCATCAGTGGTGTACCTCACCAAGTCCAATGCCAGCCTGGCAGTAAGTAGCCCAGGGTGAATAGTGTCCTCTGACTGGATATTGATATTGCATAGTGACACTTCATTCAGTATGTTTGGGTTAGCTTATGAAATGAACCATGTTATGGCTTGCAGCAGCTCTATGCTCTCTTATGATTGCTTTTGATCTCAATGGATATTACAAATAACTAAGCAGGCATTCAGTTATTTTTATTGTTCATTTTTTTAATTAACAACAATTTATTATTCACTTCCCACTCATGTAAGCTAACTGCTGATTGGTCGCTGCTCATGCCCATGTTTTTCATTGCTACTGTTCTTCTTTCAGGTTATATATGTTCAGGCATTTGTGCTTGTCATTTTATTTGGAAAGCTGGTGAGGAAGATATTCTTTGGTCAGCTACGAGCAGCAGAATTTGAGGTAATTGAACTATTTTTTTGTGCTGGTAAATCATCTTATTTTCTTATTTGCTCTCAAAGGAACATTGAACATGCATGAGTCTTGGAAGTGGGTATTCAATCTAGTTCACATTGGATCAAAATGAATAATTCTGGCCTTGATGCCTGTCTCACATCTGCTATGCACACATGCACGCATACCAACAATGATGCTCATTCAATGCAATTCATTCAACTGTAGACTCATATTTGGCAGGATTTGTGTTCCGACATTTGACTCTTCCCCCTCCTCCAGCACCTGATGGAGCGCTCGTGGTACGCGGTGACGGAGACGTGTCTGGCGTTCACCATGTTCAGAGACGACCTCAGTCCCAAGTTTGTGGCGCTCTTCACGCTGCTGCTGTTCCTCAAGTCGTTCCACTGGCTGGCAGAGGACCGCGTCGATTATGTAAGTGGGTGATGCAAACCGGAGGGAATTTCGTTTTATTGATCGCAACTCATTGTGATCGAGAGTCAGTTCCATTTGTTCATTCACCGAAAGTCATCAGCGAAGATTGTAATTTTTATATGATTTACAAACTTAGATGACAGCTCGGATTTGTTCTTCTTTTGGAATGAGCAACTCGGCCACCGAAATGTAGATATATTCCGCCAAAATAAAAGCACCGATTTAACAACCGGCAGCACTGTCCACCAGCTGACTTGTAACTGCGATGCTCAATTATATCTCGAAGTGCTATCAGCTGAACGCGCTCCGTTTCTGTGACGCAGATGGAGCGGAGTCCAGTTATCACCTGGGTCTTCCACATACGAATCATCTGTAAGTATTCAGAGCTGCCAAAGGCCACTGAATTTGATTGACTTATAGATACTGGGTAAAAGAAAACGTCGGCCTTGAATATGCGTCTAGGTTAATATGATTTTTTCGTTAGTGTGCTAGATTTTGATTCGGTTGCTTACAGGTACCATCTGTGATGTGTGTGGTGGAATGTAACTGCAACCGCTTTCATCTTTTCCTCCTTCCGGCATCTTCACCTCCCGTCACCCCTGACCTGACCCCCCCCCCCCCCCCCCCCTCGGTGCACTGCAGCGCTGCTGGTGCTCCTCTCTCTGCTGGACGTGGCGTTCATCGCGTACGCGTACCACTCGACGGTGACGCGCGGTGCGTCCGTTCAGCTGGTGTTTGGGTTCGAGTACGCCATCCTTCTGACAGCAGTGGCGTACGTGCTGGTGAAGTACGTGCTGCATACGGTGGACCTGCAGCGGGAGGCGCCCTGGGAGAACAAGGCCGTCCACCTGCTGCACACAGAGCTGCTCATAGGTGAGCGAGAGTGGGAGAGGAGAGGGTAGCTGCTCGTTTTAGTGACGACCAGATATGGTAGAGGGAGAGTTGGAGCTTCCTATTGATGGCTTCCATTACTGGGCAGTGGCAGCATGCTAGCTGTCGATACCGTACATTTATCGTGATTATCGGTGTAAGAACTGAGTCGAGTGAGCATACTCTGACCGATCCGCTGGCTGTGTCTCCTGTGTCTCAGGCTTTGTGAAGGTGATCCTGTACATGGTGTTCACGCTCATCATGGTCAAGATCCACACACTGCCGCTGTTCGCCATCCGACCCATGTATCTGGCTCTCAGGTGAGATTGCACAAACAGCTTCAGTTGATTTGCGGAGTAGATTCGTAAGTAAAGACAGCAATCATACTTTACAGATGCAAGCGATAAATGGACTTGAGCGTGAACGATGGATGCATTGTTTACTTGCGATGTTCATGGTGTTTCCCAAGTTTGTTATCCGAAGCCGCTGTTTTCCATCCGAAATTCTTATTAGAATCGCAATCTAGGCACGTTATAACACCTCGCTCGTCTTGCTCTTTTTTTTTTCTCCCACCCACGGGCCTCCATCTGACTGTCCTGTCTCCGCCAGGTCGTTTAAGAAGGCGTTAAGTGACGTCATTTTGTCCCGGCGGGCCATCCACAATATGAACACGCTGTACCCGAACGTGACGGAGGAGGAGTTGCAGAACACCGACAGCGTCTGTATCATCTGCCGAGAGGAGATGACCGCAGGTGGGTCCGACGGACGGCTGGGATGGTGGTGGCCGTGATGGATTTGTGTCGCATACAGGCCACACGTCACGGGCTAGATATGGTTAGATTCGTTCAAATGGTCGGCCTTCACTGTACTGGGCAGGCTAGCCCTTTTTTGACATGACATTTTCATCGGATTTATACAAGTTTAATGGCGGCATGCCGGGTTGTCATAAAAATAGACGACTTACAGCGCTCGTGGCCACAGCTGGTATCGTTACACTGAACAGGGCTCAGCGCTGACGAGGGTTCTCCTTACCAGTTAAGCTGGTGTGCACTGTGACTGTGCTCTGTTTGTACCGTAACATTCGTGAGTTACCGTGACGTGCCGTACCCTGGTGCCCGGCTGTGGTATCACACCCACCGTGCCTATCGCGCTGTGTGCTTGGCGGGCCCGCCGACCGACCGTGTTATCGGGGTGGCCGGGTCGTAGGTCGGGGACAGTGGAGCGGTGAGAGATGAGTGCGCGCCCAGTCGTGCGGTGAACGCGGCGGTGTGAGTGGTGACATTGAGAGGTACGACGGTACAGGCGGGAGAGCGGGGACACTGAGAGGTACGACGGTACAGACGTGAGAGCGGTAGCACTGAGAGGTACGACGGCACAGGCGGGAGAGTAGTGACACGGAGAGGTACGACGGTACAGGCGGGAGAGCGGTGACGCTGAGAGGTACGACGGTACAGGCGGGAGGGCGGTGGCACTGAGAGGTACGACGGCGCAGGCGGGGGAGCGGTGACACTGAGAGGTACGACGGCGCAGGCGGGAGAGTAGTGACACTGAGAGGTACGACGGTACAGGCGGGAGGGCGGTGACACTGAGAGGTACGACGGCGCAGGCGGGAGGGCGGTGACACTGAGAGGTACGACGGTACAGGCGGGAGGGCGGTGACACTGAGAGGTACGACGGTACAGGCGGGGGGAGCGGGGAGGGATGTAGCGGGTGGTGGTTGTGGTGAGGGTCGCTGGACGTGTTCTGAAAGTTGGTCGAATATTTCGCATGCAATGGCCTAAGGATGTCACTGTGGGCCCGTGATGGGACTGTTTCCTCGATTGCCTGTGGATGTAACAGGAGATGAAGGTCGGTAACTGATTCTCAATCATTCACGGTGACTGTCGAGTTGTGGTGGTGAACAGTAGGCTGTGACACTGGACTACGGTAGGCTGCTATCTTTGGTAAAGTGACGTATCCAATCACTATCTCCCGCTGATTAGCTCATTGATTATTGACTTGACATTGATGATGTCGATCCTGCGTCACTGATTCTCCGGATCTGCAATGATGGATATTGTCCAGGGTCTTTGATCCAAGTATCGTCATTCAGCTTAGCAGTGCTATAAGCTACTAGTAACCTCAATGTCTTTTTTATAATGACTTGGCGGCTCAGCCCCTTGGTGGGTCTATTACTGTGAACCTTAAATTTTCATCAGAGTTGTTGGTTATCAGACTGCTAAGTTGTTTTTACTCCTACGGCTACGGTACCGCTGAAGCGGGACTCCGTATGACTCACGTGATTGGCAGTGTTTTGACCCGGTGTCGATTTCGTAACACCCGGACCGCGTGCGGTGCTGTGCAGTGTCGATCGGTTGCTCTGGTGATGGGGTTGACTGTGCCGTAACTAAACGTTACCTAATGCCTACCTTAGGCCTACCGCACCGTGAGGTAGCGCATAGTCGCTGCAAATCGCTGCTTAGAATGCTGGCCGTCTGCTACCCCCCCCCCCCCCCCCGCCATGGCCGAAGTGACATTTGAGAGGCGTGTCACCTTTCATGAACTCCGAACCGGTGTGCTGCCTCGTGTGCAAAATCGAAGGGGCGTCGTCAGGTTGGGAATAAGGGAGGTCGGGGCGTGGAGCAGTGTTGGTCATAGGCGTTATCAGGGGTCGGGTCAGGTTGGTCTACCGTCGCAAGCCGCCCCTGTGAGACACCCTGGCGCCGCCTCTGCGCTGCGTATGTATCGACGGCTCCACTGGCGGGTGGCCTGCTGACCGCACTGGTGACGTCGGTGGGGCCCCGGTACTGCCTCCGGTCACGGGTGCTACCGCCGCCCCTGACCGGCCTCTGCTGCTCAGTGCTGGCTGCTGAGCTGCAGCAGGCTATAGGTTACTGCTGAGAGAGTGTGCGGCGGCGGGCGGCCCCGGCTGACTTGTGACGTGTCGTGTGGGAGTGAACGATTGTAATTGTGTAATCTGAGCGTGTTTGTGTGAGGTTGGAATTATGTGACTGAATTTGTCGTCAGGTTTATTGTGTGTGTCTAGTTATTGTTGTTAACGCTGTTTAGGGGCCGCCCAGGCGAGCCCATATGTTTTATTCGTTCCTGTGAGATGAATCATGAGCGAGATATCGCTGCACCCATAGCCTCCCAATGTCACACTTGTCCTTCTCCCAGTGCCTTTCCGTCCCCTAATCGTACAAACCCAACTGTTTTTAGGGCCTTGTCCAATAATTCTCTGTTCACTTCCCGCCTTCTCTGGCTGCCTCCGTCTGAGTCCGATCTCTGTCTCTGTGTCTGTTCACTGACCCCCGTCTCTGTCCGCAGCCGCCGGCGCCAAGAAGCTACCCTGTAACCACGTGTTCCACGCGCTGTGTCTACGCTCGTGGTTCCAGCGCCAGCAGACGTGCCCCACGTGTCGTATGGACATACTGCGCGCTCCGGCGCCGGCCGCCCCGCCGCCCCCACCCCCGCAGCCGCAGCCCCAGCCGCCGCCCGCGCCAGGACAGCCGCCACAGAACGGTCAGTAGCGGGACGACGCGGAGACGGGAAACGCTTAGATGAAACATTTTATGATTCAAATGGCAAACTTCGGTTCACCTTTGTTAGAATCGAAGAGTCGAAGGTCGTTGATTTTGTGCTAGAAATAGTAAATCTCGAATAGGAATTGCTTTAGTTGATTTCATTAGTCGTCGAATAGCGCTACACTGCCGCTTGACTTAACAACTGCCTGAGCCGTTTTTCTTGTTGCTTGAGCCCAGTGTGTTGTACCGAACGTCGTGACTGCTGTATTATCCTGTATCTGTCAGTGGTCGCCTGTCGGTGTATCGCTGACCGTGCTGTTTTCCCCTGTAGCCGGCGCTCCGCCGTTCCTCTGGCCGTTCCCGCCGCCCGGCGTGGTGCCGCCCGCTGGAGCGGGCATGCCGCCCCCGCCCCCGCCCGCCGCCGCCGCCGCCGGTCAGCCGGCAGGTAAGAGTTCACGAGTCAGCACCGCCCGTAATGGCCTTATCGGGGCCGGCCGAGATATCAGAGATCGACTAGGATCTCGTCTCATTTAGACCGTCCAGATCGTGATCGACTGTGTAGTTTGTCTGATTGGAGTGGCCGATCGGTGTCATTACATGGGATGCGGCGCTACTGCTGGGTAGTCGGGTTCAGTGCCATATGATCTGAGTGGGCCACTGCCCGGTCCCGGATGGAGGGTTACTGAGATCGATACAGACGTGGGATAGAGACCGGGATGTTACCGGTCTCCCGGTGGTTGACCGACGATTGAAATAACTGCCTTCGTGTATTATAGTATCTACTTGTAGTTTTATGGTGTCTGAGCTGGCCCAGTCTCAGCTAACAGTGAACAGTCGTGGTGCGGCCGGAGGCTAATGTGGAGTGTTACGGTCCATCTGACCTTGTGACATGAACGCTGCCGTGTGATGGTACTTATGTTGACTTGATCGTCTCACCAGCCGGAGGCGCCGCCGCTGCCGGGTCACCACAGCCGCCACCGCCGCCACCGTTCGGACATCTACCGGCATTCCCCTTCGCCCAGTTCATGAGTGAGTGTCTGACTAAGCTGATGAAGTGGTCAGGTAAAGGCTACGTGCTCTGTGATTGGAAGGAAAATGATTGTTCTGCCAAAATGACACGTGGGACGAAAGACAATGTTTAGGTAAGCGAGATAACGAGAGATCAGCGGTAAAAATTAAGGAAAAACGTGAGGAAAGCTCGCGCGAATACTCAGCCTGTCAGACGCCACTGTGCACTGTAGAAAAGCTATATTTAGCGTAGATATATCGAGATGTGAAACAACTGTGTAACGAGAGCCGGAATAACAACGGAGCGGAAGCGACAGTGCCAGAAACACAAACTATTTTAGATAAAAGATAGAAACGGGCTTACAGAAAACAACGAAATAATTACGCCAATTAAAGCACAATAAACTTATTTTAGAACGCAAGTAACATTATATAATCTTAAGACAATAGCGAAGATAATACGATTTAAATATAATACTAAAAACGAGATCAGAAGGTACTTGAAAAGGAAACAGTATTTGCGCACACGCGACAAAACAATAGCGCACTTGGGCGGAGACGCCGCAACTAAATAATGTGCCGGTGGGCTGCGCGGCACCACACTGATGCTCGCTAACTCTGAGTGTTTGCTGTCGCTGAATACTGCTTAGTCTGCTGGTCAGGTGGTTTAACTATTGTGTGGGGGTACTTTCTGAGATACTTTCATACCCGTAAAGGAACCCGTAGGTAACGGTCTCCTTGCCGAGTTATGTAACTCGAGTGTGTGATTTGGTAAACATTAGCCGCCGACCGGCTCAGTGGCAGGATTGGGACGCCCTAAACCTACCAACAGCCCGCTGACTAGCGCTCCGCCGCCAGTGATGCCGCCGATGCCGCCTCCGCCGGCCGACCTGTCCGGTCTCTCGGAGCAAGAACTGCGTCTGCTGGAGAGCCAGGAGCGGGCCGGTCTGGAGGCCCGCGTGCGTGCTCTGAGGGACATTCGCACTCTTCTGGACGCCGCTGTGGTCATGATGGAGCAGTACAGCCGCGCCGCCGCCGTCGCAGGGTGAGTGGGCATCGTGGGGAAGCGTGGCAGCTCACAGAGCTGGCAGCCGTTTTCTAGAGGTCTGTGGATGATGGGTTTTGATGTCCAGTGGTGCGCTCGGGTGTTTGGAGCGCTTCCTTCCTAGGCAGATACCTGTTGAATGTTGATATATGGATGTGTTGTGTGGATCTTTTGTATTTTTGTATTCATGTTTCATTCGTCATTTTGTTTTCAGAGTGGCGCCTACCGCAGCACCTCCAGCAGCCGCTGCTGCAGCTCCCGCGGCTTCTGCCTCGACTGGAGCGCCCTCTGCCAGTACCGCCACCGAGGGAGCCGCCACCGCCGCCGCCGCCGCCTCCCCAGCAGCAGAAGGCGGCGCGGCGGCGGCTGCCCCGCCGAGCCCGACACCCGCCTCCGCCGCCCCTGCCGCCGAAAAGACACCGACCGCTGCTGCCGCCAGTCCGGCCGCACCGAAACCGGCCCCAGCCGCCGCCGCCGTCGCTGCGGAGCCAGTCTCGGAACAGGAGGAGCTGCGCAGGAGACGCGTGCAGCACTTTGAGCAGCGCGGCGAATAGTGAGTGAGCTGTTTATGAACACCAACTGTCGATATTGTGTGAATATCGACGTGTCACCCTGCAATGGAACATACGGGCGGGTATGATACGAAATGCTGATAAACCCATGCTACGAGGATAAAGAAGATCGCACGTTTGTGACAAGACATACCTGATATGTAATGCTGCCCTTGGTGCAAGTTATGTGGTGGCAATATTCACTATACAGTCAATGGTTCATGTGAACCCTGTCAGTTCACGGAGTCAAACCCTCGGTTTATGCGCTGTCCGAGAAAGAAGACCGCACATTTGTGACAACATACCTGATGTGTAACACTAACGCTGCCCTCGATGGGATTATGTGGCGGCGACATTCAGTCACTGGTTACGGTAAACCCTGGCCCGGTTCGGGAGTCGCACCCTCGGCTGGTGGGCTCCCGGACGGGCCAGTCCGGGTGTGATATGATATCCGATATCTGACGCGGCCGGGGCGGGACAGGCGCCGCCGTGGTGGCGTCTGTGACAGACGTTACTGGGACGGTCCTTCAGTTTGTGTGTGCGTGTGCCGAGTTTATTTATTATATCGGCCGGCCGTGGTGGGACCGGATAGTTCGGACCAATACACGGGCGAATTCAGCCGCAGTCCTGTGTCGGTGTGGCGAGACATACAGTAAAACGGAGATAAACGCGGGCGAAGCCAGAAGTCAGGTTTTCTTATGCATGACTCCAGCAACGCCGTCTTCTGTGGTGCACATGCAATATGGGTTATGTGCTGTAGAAGACAGTAGACACGCTAGTGCGAATTTTCGACAAACGACCGGTAATGGGCAGAACCGGGACGTTATATCCACTTAGTATCCGTATCTCATTCGTTAGCGGTTCACTAATCCAGAAGACGTCGATCGGTTCGGATTATCAGACTGTCTGCCGTTCCACCGATGGGGCCCAAAAGGTCTGGGCGAGTCGTGCGGACGCAGTCCACCGGTGGGGATCGGAGGTTAGTCGACGACAAATTGTTTTGTTTATTCTTGGTCGACATCGGTGATTGTTTTCTTGAGAGAGCCCCGACAATAGGAATTGACGACATGGCTGCCATGCTTGAATTTTGAAGTTTGCCGGTCAGTGCGTGCGACAAGTGACAGCACTATGCGGTACCGGAGCTGTCGGCTGGTCAGCTGCGCTATCAGCAGCTGCAGCAGCTGTCGGCTCTCGATGGGAATTAACGAACAGATTTAACCGAGCGTGGAAGCGCGAGAAGACAAATGAAAGCTGCGTCAATTGACGAAATGTAACTGGATAAACTGCTTAAAATAACCTGCATGTTATATCCATTTTATCCAATATACGAGCGATTTTTTATTCATTTCTTTAGGCTTAGGAGCTGTAGGCAGAGGCACACTTTGGTAAATAAGTTGAAGCAATTCTAGAAAAAATGTAAACAGCAAAACCAGACGGTGCGAGTTCAACAACACCAACAAAAAAAAAAAAATATTGCTTTGGTAACATTATATTGCAATGCATGCAGATTGCAGGGCATACGCATTACGCACAGATAAGACAGGGCTCCAAACCAAACCACACCTTCATGCAAAACACGGAAGTACCTAACAGGTGACAGTCAGATGTGAAATGGAACACGAGAGTCGAGACACCCTTCAGTACGTAATATCGAACGGAACGGACCTGCAGTCGATTATAGCCGAGAAAATTGGTATACACTTTGGAGAACAAATTGCCAAAAGAGCAATTAGCGTGGATCACCGTTAGTCGGATTATCTGTCCGGTTACTAGTTACTACAGCCCACCACCCATGGCTTGGGTCTCTTCTTCCACCCCCTTATGGGAATTTCGGAAAAAGCGACGAACACGGCCGCACAGCTTAGTTTACCGAATGTTTGAACTATGAGATGAAAATATGATAGATGAAACACTGATGACCTTGGACCTAGCAATAACACATTCTCCGACAACAGACACCAAGTCTGACAGCATTGCCTGATCATCGCCAGCAACCATCGACAGTCTAAACCCACGGTGACAGAGCAATGTCTTACAACGTTCAAACACCCCGTGTTACAGTCTCAGTTATCCCGCTGAGATTGGTCACAGCACCGCCACACAGAACCTACCATGACGGAGAAACGGTACCGCAGCAGAGACGTCTCGTCCTACTGGTGACGTAACACCGATAATGACCAGCTGAGTGACGTCACGTCATTGGCAGGTGACGGGCTGGGTGATGTCTCACTTTACTGGCAGGTGACCGGCTGGCTCTGATGGGCCGCAGACCGTCCTCCTGATGGCTGAGGCAGCGGCCTCCGGAACAGAAGCACGTGCGGCTCTGTGGGGCAGCAAAGGCCGGCTGTTATGGAATACTGGGATGTCGGGGTACAATATTGTCATATTCCCCATGGTCAGTACTTTCTGTAGCTCAGTCAGTGGAGCAGAACGTTAGTATAGTATAACAGTGGCGAGGGCCCAGGTTCGAGTGGCATGGGTGCATTGAAGCTTCCGACTCCTGAGGGGATCATCTGCAGCTGGTGGAAACGATAACTTGATTCCAAGTTCTGCATACTCCTGATTAGCCCCCACTTCACTTTTAATTGCCCATTGAGGTGGACAAGTTTGGATTTTTTAAAAATAAAACTGAGCAAACTTCAGCAGGAGTTTGGAAGATGCTGGTTTGGTGCTGTGCTGTGGACTGTGGTATTGGGCCGTGGTATAAATATTGCTTACCAGGAAGATGAACCATATAGTGGACCCAGCCCGGAGACTGCTGTACACCAAGATTCCTCCATTCACTCTCAGTCATCAGGTGGGTCATTGGAACACTCTTGGCCAAGTTTGATGGCAGCATCACATGCCTGTAATAGGAAAAAACAACAGATGAACGTGCTCATGGTCAAGACCAAGAGCGCAAGAGTGACACATGCAATGAAACTTTTAACAGCATAGCATAGATAATTTGGATTTTAGATGCATAATATATAGGTACCAACCTGTATTCATATCTGTCATCTGAGTATTTTTCAGAATACTGGATCGAATTTGTAGGCATAACTGCTTTCTTTTATTAACACACCACAGTGGCAATCAGTTGAGATGTCAACGAATTTCGATATTGGTATTATTTATAGTCACCGTGTTCGATATCGTCTATAAAGGTTATACGTCCCAGGGTATAATTATGCGTCCACCCACGACTGGGCTATAAACCACTTAACAAGGTGACTCCGGTCGACTCTTTCCCGCAAATAGTATTGACTCCAAATTGACTCCGTGCGACTCAATCCCATGAGAGCAAGGATGACAGATACAAAAAACGCGCGGCCTGCGCATTTGTTGTAGTAAAAGCGCAATATTTGGCGTTGAAGTAAATTTCGGACCTCTCCTCAAAACATCTCAAAAATACTTATAAAACTTCGTATTTTTTCGACAGAAGATAGTTAAACGTTCTGCAAATTCCTTATATAATTCAAATTTTTCTTTGGCATCTAAATTTGTAAGCATTCTGAATTTGAATTAGACAAAATCAAATAAATGGAAAGTTGTTTTTTTCGTTCTCACAACAGCTGATAGGGGATATGGTAGCGCAAAGCTGCCTTCAAATTCAAACGTCAACACACGGGAGATGCAAGCTTACCGTGGACATTTGCCGTTACTTGAATTATAATTGTTTGGTTATATTTTATATCCAATCCAACGCAGTCGGACATTTTTCGGCGATATCCATATGTACTCCTTACCAATCCGTTATGTAATGTGGTCATAAATTAGTTGCGGATTGGTTGAATTGTTGCTCGTCGACACTTCAACTTCAATTTTGATTTCCATCAACTTGAGCAACTCGGCTTAACATCAGGTATGTTAGGTATATCAGCATGGGCTCATAAATCATAGAAGTTTGATATGACATATAAATGAAATCAACAAACTAGATATCTTTAACCTTTTTCTGACGATCTTCAAGACCCTATCTAACTATTTAAAATGGCTAATGACTGGAATTGGTGCCATCCCAGATTTCATTATCTTTATGTTCTGTAGTATTTTGTAGTTTTTGAGTCACCTTTATTATATTATCCCTGCCAGTGCCTTATGTTTTTCTGTCTATCCCCAGAGATGTCGGGGAAGGTGCTGCCAGTCCGGGTAGCAGTGCGGATCAGACCAGTGGTCGAAAAGGAAATCAGAGATGGCTGCCAGCCTTGCCTCGATGTCACCCCTGGCGAGCCACAGGTAAGCATTTTCCTCAACTGGAGGTAGGTTCCTAACCCATGCCCTGCTGGGGTAGGGGTGTTTGAATATCCCCTGCACCTGTTCGCAAATATCTTATAAACGGGGGTGGGCGAGCGGAGTGTCACTGTTTTTGGCACACCTCATTTAATGTTTTTATGCACATGTGAAAATTTCATGTTGTGAAAAATGTCAGAAGTTTATTATCAGTAACCTAAGGTCAGGTCATTTTTGTGACCTCTCCATGATGTCAATGGGAAAGAGGGAAATGACCAGGGAATGAAAGATACTTCTTTTGGATGAACATCATTGTAAACACTTAAACACTGAGATACAGGTAAAAATAACACACTGGACTGGAAAATGGTACATGTGACCTCTGCTAATGTCCCTGAGGTCATTTCAGGTCACAAAATGTGTGCAACGGTTTTTCATTTATAACTTTTGATAACAATATAAGAGTGATGAAAACTCCTTAGAAAGTTGGCCTTTTAACCCTCGCCGGCTTTTCGCGAATAACTCACGTAAAAAGCGGCCGATCGCGACGAAACTTTCAGTACCTTCGCATTGATCAATTTTACACCTACCCTCAAAATTTCATGACCCTGACCCAAATGACCTTTGACCAGTGACCTACTTTCCGAGACCATGTTTGGCCGGAATCGCGATTCGGCGATGTCGGCTCGCATTAGCCGCGCGTTTGCAAGCTTTTCGTGGTTTCAAACGTTCAAACATGTGATTTGATGTTGCTCCCATGCATTAGGGTGGATGTCAAGGTCACCTGAAGGTCAGGTCAGGTCATTGACCTTTGGTGACCTCGTTTCACTTTTTCGAGTTTTACATGTTTCTAGGCTAGTTTTTGGAGCTGATTTCGAATTTAGCAACCATTTGAACATTTACGAAGTAGTTTTGGTGCCTTTGTAACATGTTACGAAGCTGTCAGAGGCGGTTGACACGTATTACGAATACCCGTCACGACTCACGACCCCTACCGGTTGACATGACCTGACCTGACCCGACCTGGTCTAAATGCTTAAAGACATCATTTCTGATCAAAACTAACACGATATTCGTGATCAGCACCCCGGAAAACCCCATAGCAGCCACACTTTACGACTTTCTAACAGGTCCCGATTTTCCCGATTTTCGGGTCATTGACCTGACCAGGAAGGGCAACCGATGACCTAGGACCTTAAAATTGGATATCATCGGCTTCCTCTCGTGACGGGCAACACGCTCGTTTTTTTTCCGCGAAGCTCTAGCTCTATCAGGGGCCAAACGCGAGGGGGGGGGGGGTCGTACCAACCGAAGGACGCAAAATGGCCTGTGCCGGCGAGGGTTAAGGTCCAACTATAGTTCATTTGATCCGTCTTGACGGGAGGAGTACGATGTCGATGCCGGTAAAAGAAAGCTGGTGCAAGATTTGAGTTAAAAGTTGTTCCAGAAAACCTGTTACCGCAAAAGTTGCCAGTTTCATAAGCGGCACAGGTTTGTTTCCCCTCAATGTGACTGGTCGAAATCATATCTTGTTTAGGAAATAGACAGAACATGGCATGAGAGGAATTGCAGTTTTGGAAATGTTCGTTGATAAATTACACTCGGAAGAAATGTTTTAGACCCGCAACTGCTTTTTGAATATATAGCTTATCTGTTCCACCCTTATTACTTTTCAGATCGTGCTGTCAGGAACAGAGAAGGCCTTCACATATGACTTTGTGTTCGACTCCGAACAATCCCAGCAGCAACTGTATGAGACTGCTGTCAAAGATATGCTTGGAAATTTGTTTGAAGGTGAGGACAATGCTCAAATACTCTTGCAGTCTGAACCTGCTTAGGTACTGTATTTTGACTGTTTGGTAAAAGCCTTTCATGATAAGCTGCTAGTTATACCATGATTTGTCAGCCTTTTTATTAGTTTCCCAATCAATTCATCATCGTACTGTTACGAGCTGCCTGTTCTACGCGATGCCGCGTTTGACCGCTGACCGTGTCGATGTTATCCCGTCCGTCAGGCTACAATGTCACGATCCTGGCGTACGGTCAGACGGGCTCGGGTAAGACCTACACCATGGGCACCGTCTACTCCTCGGAGACGGGCATGACCGACGAGACGGGCGTTATCCCGCGCGCCATGACCGACCTGTTCGCTCAGATCAGCGAGCGCCGCGACTGCGAGTTTGTCGTGCGCGTCTCGTTTCTAGAGGTGAGGCGGAAGAGAGTTGGGGTTTATTGTGGGAGCATGTCGTCATTTTATTGTAATTGATTTGTCCTTGCGCCGAGCTTGTGCTTTGCGCTGATGTTTGAATCCTTCTTAGTTTCTGCGGAGATTCACAATATTGAACTCGGTCTCTGTGAAGACTTGAATGTAAAAGCGCTTTTGTCGTACCCAGCTCTGTGCAAATTTACAAGGACCAGCTGTTTTACCTTCCGTCATTCTCTGCACAGATTTACAAGGAGCAGCTGTTTGACCTGCTCTCGGGGAAGGAGCGGGACCAGAGCCAGGTGGACATCCGGGAGGACACCAAAGGGATCCGGGTGGCCGGCCTGACGGAGGTGGCTGTCACCACCGTCACTGAGACCATCTCCTGCCTGGAGCGGGTGAGAGGGGAGAGGGAGAGAGAGAGCGTGCGTGCGTGCGTGCGTGCGTGCGTGAGTGAGTGCGTGCGTGAATGCGTGCGTGCGTGAGTGCGTGCGTGCGTGCGTGCGTGCGTGCGTGCGTGCGTGCGTGCGTGCGTGCGTGCGTGCGTGAGTGAGTGAGTGAGTGAGTGAGTGAGTGAGTGAGTGAGTGAGTAAGTAAGAGAGAGACCCAAAGTCGTAAGTACAATTAACCTCACTTCCGAGCTGTTTCACTCGGGTAACGTCAATTGCAGTACTGAGGTTACCATCTACTTATGTTGACTCGAAGTTTGCCATTGTGACGTATAACCTCTCCCTTGTGCAGGGCGGTCTGGGCCGAATCACCGGCGCCACGGCCATGAACCTTCGCTCGTCACGGAGTCACGCCATCTTCACGGTCTGTCTGGAGCAGCGCGCCCGCGACACGGGAGCCACCACCACGGCCAAGCTACACCTGGTCGATCTGGCCGGCTCCGAGCGAGCCAAGAAGACGCAGGCCACCGGTGACCGGCTCAAGGAGGGTATCAACATCAACCGCGGCCTGCTCAGCCTCGGAAACGTCATCTCGGCGCTGGGCGAGGACAAGCCGCCCAAGCACGTGCCGTACCGCGACAGCAAGCTGACCCGCATGCTGCAGGGTGAGATGAGGGAACGGAGTGGGAGTTCTAGGGAAGGTGGCGTGCTGAAATTGGGGAGAGGACGTGGTCGGGCTGTGGGGAAGGGGATAATAGGGGCAGATGAAGACAGGTACGATTGTGAAGTGAACGGCCGGCATGATGTAACCTTTCTGTCGCTGCTTAGTGCTTGCTGCGAATTGTTTGGGGACGACACGGTTATTACTTATTATTATCGGATTTTTATTAATGGGTAGGTACTTTGTTCTCTACATACGATTCGTCTTTACCCTTTCACCTCGTTCGCGATGCTTGTTCACAGCTTACACACAGGACCCTCAAATTAATTTCGCCTTTTCTCACATGTAAATCGGACTGTTTAAAAACTTAAGTGCCTTATGCTGTGACCATATTCTTTGCCAATACCATGTCTTGGTCGCCACCGTCCCTGTCACACATGCGCTGATTCATAATGCCTTCCGACTCACGTCACACTTCGTTCCTCTCACCTGTGCGCTCTCGCAGAGTCCCTGGGTGGCAACTCGCACACACTCATGATTGCGTGCACATCACCGGCGGATGCGAACCTAGAGGAGACAGTCAGCACCCTGCGGTACGCCGACCGCGCCCGGAAGATAAAAAACAAACCCATCGTCAACCGTGAGGGCAACGAGATTGCTCGGCTTCGGCAGCAGGTAGGGTGCGGAGGGAGTGTGGGATTGTTGAGGGAAGGAGATGGAGGGTGTGGGGGATCTTGAGATAATGGGGAGGTTAGAAGTGTGTCACCTGTCATGGTGATATTCATCGGTGGTGTCTTACCGTTTATTGTGTGTTATTTTAGTGCCAGATGATTATTGATGAAAAATGAAATTGGCCTGACGGTTCAGGCTCACAGGACTGTATTTTCTAGCTTCCTTTATGTCAGTGATAAACTTTCGGTCTCAATTTATAAAGTATGCGCTAGTTCATCTTATAAAAGTTGTTTGTTTAAACTCGTTAAATCCACGTTCCGCTATCCCGTTCCACTATTCTTCATTACCCGTTAGTCTCGCCCTGTTCTCCGAGTCTCTCCCCGTTTCCGTGCCTCACGCCCTCTCCACCGCGCTCCTCAGGTTCAGCAGCTGCAGGCCCAACTGCTGGAGGTGCAGGGCGGCTGTCCGGCGCCGGCCGCGCCATCCACCGGCGGCGTCCCGGCCGTGCCCCCGTCCCCCGGCGGCCCGTCGGCGCTGGTCGCTCAGAACCGCCGGCTCATGGAGGAGAACCGGCGGCTGGCCCGCGACCTGCAAGCCTCCATCGAGGAGCACACGGCTCTGGCCGAGAAGGCGCTGCTGGCCGAGAGGGCCGCCGACCGCTTCAAGCAGCGCCTGGAGGAGCTGTACCAGCAGACCGGCGACGCCATGCGGCTGATGAACCAGAGTGGGGCAGTCGGAGCGGACGAGCTGAGCCATGTGCGAGACCTCCAGAGCCGCATCATGGATATGCAGGTCGGTGGGGAATAGAGGGCGGGGAGGGGTGAGTGGAGGGTAGACAGTTGGTGTGAGGATAGATTGGTTTGGGTCTCTGTGGCACAGGAGGGCTGGTGTGTTCATGTGATGTAATAAGATCCACAAACCGAACTTACCTCTTCGTCCCATTTTCAGAGCTTGTGGCACTGCTACTTACGCCCTCGCGAAGTTCTTAGTTCCAATTCTTGCTCCCCTTACTGAGAAAGAATTTACCGTTAAAAACAGCTACGAGTTCGTCACGGATTTAAAAACTTTCATATTTTCCGAAGATATGGTTATGGCCAGTTTTGACATTGAAAGTTTGTTTACTAACATATCTGTAGGTGAAACGGTTGACATAGCAATTAACTCTCTCTTCAGCCAGACTGACAGCGTCAGTGGCATCCCTTGGAAACTATTCCGCTCAATGTTAGATTTGTCAGTAACCAACTCGTTTTTCCTTTTCAACGGACAGTTGTACCAACAACTTGACGGCGTAGGGATGGGCCTACCACTTGGCCCTACCTTTGCCAACATTTTCTTATGCTTTCATGAGAAGAATTGGCTTACTACCTGCCCTTATGAATTTCGTCCTGTCCTGTATAGGAGGTATGTTGATGATTGTTTTCTGGTCTTTCGACACGTCACTCATGTAGAAAAGTTTTTATCCTTCCTTAACGAGCAGCATCCAAAGATTAAGTTCACCAAAGAAGTAGAGTCCAACCAAACGCTACCCTTTTTGGATGTCAAGATAAAACGTATTGGCTCTTCTATTGAGACTTCCGTTTTCCACAAGCCTACCTTTACCGGACTAGGATTGAGCTTCTTTAGTTTCGTCCCATTTTCCATCAAGTGGGCAGTCATCCAGTCATTTATTTATCGCGCCTACCGTTTATGCTCGAGCTACAAGCTCTTCGATCTAGACTCTAGAGCTAAGATCCCTGAAAGGTTTTTTCTTGGATAACGGTTACCCAAGGTCGTTGGTAGATGCCGCCATTGCCAAGTTTCTTAACAGAAGGTTCATTACTATCACAAATCAACCACAGGTTGAAAAACTCGAGAGCTTTTTCACTTTGCCGTTTTTCGGAAAACGCTCAATTAAGCTCAAAAATGAAATAAGCGCTCTCCTACAAAAGTACTACCCATATCTAAGCCCGCGATTCATTCTCAGAAACAACTTCACTATTGGATCTCTGTTCAAGTTCAAGGACTCTATCCCTGCTGTAGTTTATAAGTTCAGTTGTCCTTCGTGTGAAGGATCTTACATAGGTTCTACCTATGTTAGGCTCCACAGCAGAGTTTGTCAACACAAGGGTAGGTCACACAGAACGGGAGAACTCTTATCCAGTCCAGTAGCATCGTCTGTACGGGGTCATTCTTTGGCATGTGACACCCCCTTCAGTATAGACGATTTCAAAATCATAGATCAAACACGCTCAAACTTCAATTTACGAATTTTAGAATCTTTACACATATTTGAAGCGAAACCGACCATCAATGACCGATCATCTGCGTTTAAACTAAGTATCGTTCTGTAGGAAGACGACCGAACCAACACGAATGATGTTTTATGTCTTGTTTTTGTGAAGTGTGTGATGTGCATCGACTGATACCCTGCATCGACTGCTTGTATATTTATGTCAGCATGTAATTGTGATGTAATGTATCAGTGATAACTGATATGATATGGCCTGTCCAGAGTGGTAGCACGTCATCTTCTCCCCCCCCTTCCCTTCCCTCTTGGACCCGCCCCATATTTGTGCTAACTACTCGCTGTCTCTTCGTTCAAATACCTTCTGTCCGTCTCCCTGCTCTAAGCCACCCTATCTCTACGTCCTAACTTGCTGTCGTAAACCCGCTCTGTCTCTCTGTCCTAGTATTGTCCCTCTCTATGGGCGCACAATGGCCTGAGTAGTCGGCGCGTCCTAAAGCCCCGATGTCCCAAACAAATGTCCCAACTTCTCAGTTATCCCATCTTTCTTCGCTAACCCCGGCCCGTCCTCCGTCTTTCACAGCACGAGCAGACTCACCATGAAGAGGAGCTGCGCCGGCTAGACGCCACGCGTCACGTGGCTTCCTCGGGCGGGCCGGCAGAGGACGGCGAGTCGTCCTCATCGGGAGGAGCCGGCGAGGATGAGGACGAAGAAGTGGATGAGGACGAGTTTGTGAAAAAGCACGCTCTCCGCCAGGCGGAGCTCAACAACGAACTCCTGGTGAGAGCGGCGAGAGTGGAGGGAGGGAACGGAAGAGGGAGAGGTATAATACATATAAGAAAGCGAGACAGAAAGAGAGAGAGAGAGAGAGAGAGAGAGAGAGAGAGAGAGAGAGAGAGAGAGAGAGAGAGAGAGAGAGAGAGAGAGAGAGAGGAGGAGGAGGAGGGGCGTTCCCTGTGCTCGGGGGGGGGGGGGGAATAGGAGCTAAGTTAGGGAAACGTGATGAGTTCGATTCTGTTGTGTTTATCACTATTGTGACCACCCGCACGTCCAAGCTCAACGTATTTACTCCCCCCCCCCCTTCCCACCCTCAGGACCTGAACCGTGCGCTGGCGCTCAAGGAGAACCTGGCCTCCGAGATGGCCAACAGCAACACGCAGATGCTGGTCGTGCGCCAGCGGTACGAGCAGACGACTCGCGAGCTCGAGGAACAAGTGCTGACTCTCAGTGCGGAGAAGGAGCGGCTGGAGCAGGCGCTCCAGGGGGCCAGACAGGAGGCCGCCGGATCCAAGTACGTTAGCACTGCAGGGAGGCCGGGATGAGAGCAGGGCTGGACATTGTGGTAGGGTTTCCACTGAGAATATAGAGGGATTACCTGAAAGAGGAATTTTGGCGGTTTCTGTTATTAGAGTAGGTATCATGTAGGAAAACGCATTTTTCGACTTTTACTCAATTTATTATTTCATGTGTAGGGTATGCGCACAAAGATAAACAAATTCGGACGTCATGTTTTCTCATTCGGCTGTTGCACGTCAGCATTCACCGGCGTTACTTACCGTATTCCGCTCCTCCGCAGGGCTGCCGAACAGAAGCGCCTGCGTGTCAAGGAGCTCGAGGAGCGCATCAAGTCGCTGATGCACAAGATGAAGGAGCAGGAGCGACTGCTGCGCATGAAGCGCGCCGCTGACGAGAAGGTGGTCCAGCTCAACAAGGAGATCCAGAATATCAAGCACACGCGCGTCAAGCTGATCAGACAGATGAAGGAGGACGGAGACAAGTGAGTTAGAGGGGGAACGGCCCGGGTTTGGCTCGGTGGGATAGAGGGTAAACACTAAACAGGGAAGGACGACAAAACGACTCGCATAGCTGGGGGCAAAGCTCGCTTGTTGTTTCGGGGTCTGGACTGGGGGACGGTGGAGCCATTTTGAAACGTGGAGGAAGAGGAATTTGAAGGGGCTTTGGGCTGAAGGAAAGAGACGGACACCCTAGATTAGATAGGGTTTGTAGTAAAGTTTGCACAGCCGTTGTTTTTATCTCGACCATATAGTTACTCTAAAAAAAAACTTCTTTATATGATGAACAGTCATAGAGTTGCCGCATTGAAAGTGATTCGTATTGTATTTGTGTGTCATGAATCCACATACACCTTTACGCGTCATGCGTATACCCGCCAGCTCAAGTGCCCGACCAATGACGTCCCACCGTGTTTGCCAGGTTCCGCCAGTGGCGTCAGAAGAAGGACCGAGAGGTAATGCAGCTGAAGGCGCAGGACAGGAAGCGCCAGGTGCAGCTGGTCAAACTGGAGCGGCAGCACGTCAAGCAGGAGACTGTCCTACGCCGGAAGATGGAGAACGCCATGGCCGCTAACCGACGGCTCAAGGAGGTGGGTATGAGTACTGTGCACGCAAGGCCGAGTTTCCCTCTGTCTGTCTCTCTATCTGCCACGTGTCTGTATGTTTGTCTTTGTATATTGTCGTCTGTGTTAGTATGCACGCACCGCCTGAGCCCTACTGCAGCCTCCATCTACTCTCATTCCTACCTTAAAGGGACACCTTTAACATGGGGTTTGAGTTGAGATAGCCAAGTTTGCGGCGAGGTTCAGAAACCACTATCTATCTAGGTTGCAACCCCCGCGGCCTCTTGGTGTTGAAGAAATTCGTTCCCTTCATTTGAAAATGGGCCTTGTACAAGGCCCTATCTTCAACATGGAGCGACCGTTAGTGTGACGTCACCTCGTTTAGTCATTCTGATTTAAATGGGTTTGTTCGTTGAAAAATCGCTTAAAACTTTGTCTGAACTTTGTTGTGGTGCCTACAGAGTAAAAAGAATCAGCTTTATGACAGTAATGTGGCCTGGGGAAGGAGGTAATTTTGGGCTGTGACGTCACATATTTGAAAGTTTGTGTTTGGAATATGGGAAGCCTAAGATGTTTAATGAAAAATAAATGCCAGAACCGTGTTCCTGGTCATCCAATCTACAAAGTCGGGCACAATTTAACTGGTTTTAACAACATTTTAGAAGGTGGGATAGTCCCTTTAAACTGCGTTGACCTCTCCCCCCCCCCCACTCACCCAGGTCCTAGAGCAGCGTCAGTCGGCCCGCGAGCGTCGCCAGCCGACGACCGGTGGCGGCGGCAGTGGCGGCGCGGCGGCGGCCGTCACGGCGCAGGTGGATCAGGAGCTGGAGCTGCTGGTGAGCGCCCGGCTAGCGCAGCGCTCTCTGCAGCAGCTGATAGACGACCGGCGCCGGCTCAACGCCCAGCTGAAGGAGACGGAGGTGGGTGTGGTTACTGGCCGGAAACCACCACAGTCACCACAGCAGCGCCTCCGGTCGCTGGTGGGAGGAATCTTACTGATGTGGGACTCGTGGGGATAGGAGAGGGAAAGATAGAATAGGGAAGGGGAGTCTGACTAGAGCTGCTGGAGCTAGTCATTCGCGGCATTATATAATTGACGAATTGTAAAATTCGTCAGAGGCATTTTTTCGTCCGCCACCAATTATATATTTGTCTGAATTCACTTAGTTCTGAGCCAGGATTTTACCATTTTGCGTGCGTTTTCACCGTCCGGTGCGGCCCCTTCCCTGACTGCTGTACTCGTTCCCTCATCTCACCCCTCTCTGCCCTTGTACGATCACGGTCTCTCCTCCCTCTGCCGCGCGCGTCTCACCCCACCTCCCACTCCCCCCCCCCCCGCAGAAGAAGCTCCAGCGTGACGACGTCTCGGCTGAAGAAGTGGCCCAACTCACCCGCACCAAGCGTGACATCCAGAACGAGCTGGTGTCGCGTAACGGCCAGATCGCCGACCTGCAGCACCGGCTGATGAACGTCGAGTCGGACGGGCGCGCCGCGGCGCCCGCGCAGCGTTGGGCCACAGTCACGTCTATGGCAGACGCCAAGAAGGCGCTGGAGCACCTGTTCGAGCTGGCGGCCGGCGCGCGGACAGACGCCAGCGCTCGCCAGTCGGACGGCCAGGAGCTGCAGGTGGGTCGGCCGGGAAGGGACGGGTAGGGTGGTGGTATGGTTGCTGGGTAGCTGGTTGGATGGAGCTAGTGTATTGGGGCTTTTTGTCGGCGCGCCCTTAAGCTCCAATAAACAAACAAGGGATGGAGCTGGTCGCCACGGCGTTTTGATCGATGAATGCTTGGAGGGTGCGCTTGAATATTTTGATCGATTTATTGCACGTTTTACAACATTGGTTTGGACAGTCGTCCTTGATTCGTGGAGCTGTGTTTGCGTGAGCCGCCATAATTGACGCACGTGTCGCTGTGTTATAATACAGACGAGTCGCTAGACGCATTGCAGAGTCAGCTGGACGAGGCGCTGTGTTTGATCCTGGAGTCTCTGTGGCTGACCTGCGAGTCTCTGGACGTGTTACAGAGTCAGCTGGACGAAGCGCTGCAGGCGGTGGAGGAGCTGGAGCGCGAGGCGGCCCGCGAGCGGCGCCAGTTCGAGGAGCGCCTCTCGCGTCTCACACTGGAGAACGAGGAGAAGGTGCTCATGCTGCTGCGCCACATGCCGCAGCCGCAGGGCTGCAGTACGCCCAACTCGAGCTTCAAACAGGTCCGTGATAGCTCCACTCGAGCTTCTAACAGGTCCGTGATATCTCCACTCGAGCTTCAGATTGGTCAGCTCACAAGTACACCAACTCGAGCTTGAAGCAGATCCGTTCGATCTCATTTTTCGAATAGATTTGTATATGGCAGACACTCATTTCGAGACACAGACATAGACAGATAATTTCGAAATCCAGCTTCGAACAAGCTTCTTTTTTCCGTCACGATGTTCATTCGTAACAGTATCATCCGTCTAATCTAGCCTTTGTCGTTATAGTCCCCCTCCCATGATCCCTCGCACCCCGTTAGATCGGCTCGACCCCTCACCGCTGTGACACCCCATCTCCACCTCTAGGGCAGTGGCGGCGACGACGGGGCTACGGCCGCACTCCAGGAGAGGCTCGCCATGCAGGAACGGGAAATCCTGCGTCTGAGCGAGCTTCACGATATGCTATCGGAGAGGGACGCGGAGGTGGCCGCGCTGAGAGCCGAGGCCGAGAAGCTGAGGACTCAACTGGTGGGTATTGGATGGCTGGGGTGGGGAGAGTTGAGGCAGGGGTGGGAGAGTGAGTGGGGCACGGTGGGAGGAGAGGTGGGGTCGGAGGGAGGGGGAGAGAGGTGGACAGGAGACAAGGGAGGTGACGGGTGGCATGAGGTTAGTGACGGGTAGGGATAAGGTATCTAAGACGTGAGTGAAAGAGCTGGAGCTGCAGGCAAGCAGCGAATCTTGTGTTCTTGTCGTCAGATGCAGCACTTTTGTAATTTCTTGCGGTGCGCTTCAGCCCGCCGTCATCTTCAAAATACCGCCATATGTAATTGCCCGACAGTGTTCATTTCCTCAGAAATACTTCACATCCCCCCCCATACACCCCCCCCCCCCCTCCACGTCTGACCTGCCGGTCCGTTTTCCACAGAGCGAGGCCCAGACGGCGCCGGCCAAGCGCGCCCGCTCCGCCAAGCCGCCGCCGCGCCTCCAGCAGCGGGTGCAGCTAGATGAGATTCTGTCCCAGAGCGAGTCGGAATCTGGCGACGACGATAGCCAAGACCCGGAGTGGGTACGCACGCCACTGTTCAAGCGTATCAGCCGAATGACGGTAAGAGTAGAGCGCAGACGAAGGGAGGGTGGGAGCATGATACCGTGTGTTGGAATTTGTAAGTGCTATAAATTTGTCGCAATTTATGATCCATGAAAATATTATTAGAATCATAGATAGCATGAACTACCATGATATCTAGTTCATTTTATACTTCAGGTAGTTCATGTAGTTGAGGAAGTTCATATTAACTATGTTAGAAAGTTTTTACTAGATAGTTCATCGCTCTGAGCTATTACGTTTTTCGTTTCCAAAAATAACGTCGTCATCTCGATGTGTTGCGTGGTCCTGTCCATCGTATCCTGGCCTCTCTGAACTCAGTGTCTCCTCCCCCGCCACTAATCCTTTCCCCCTGCTCTCCACAGTCGCGTGCGTCGCAGATGGCCCGTCGCGGCCCCGACAACGACTCCAACTCCGAGTCGCCGGCTGATTCGGACGGCGCTGGCACCGTGAAGCGCCGCTCTGATGGTACCCCGCGCTGCAACTGCAAGGGAATGTGCAAGCTGCGCTGCCCGTGCCGCAGCCACCGCAGCCAGTGTGACGAAAACTGCCAGTGCAAGCCGGCGCGGTGCTCGAACCGGACGACGTCGGCCGCCGGTGGAGCGGACGACACCTTCACGGTGCCGCCGCAGGAGACTGCCGGGAAGAAAGAGAGCGCCGCCGATGTCACCTTCGTGGTGCCAGACAGGAAGACCCGCAGGTGAGTCGCCGACGGAGCTGTGGTCGGGGAACTTCGAAGGATTTAGATTATTGACGCTGTAGATACTATGCAATGAATGAATATTTGAATTTTCGACACTTCCAACTAGTGTTTGTGACGGTTACAATAATGAGGATGCTTAAATAATAGTTATTATAACTATTCAAAGTTAATATAAATTATAAGATTATTCAAAGTCTCCGCGCACTAGCTAGCTTGCTGCAGTGCGTAGACGTGGGCTGGACAGCAGCTGACATACGGTGCCCTCTCGGTGCCCGCAGGCGAACGCAGATCTTCGAGCCGCCTCCGTCTCTGGACAGCCCGGAAATGTTCGAAGCGCCCGGGAAGAAGGTGCGCGCCATGTCCATCTTCCAGGAGGAATGAGTGCCCGAGGATAAGGAGGCACGGAGCGCCAACTGAGGACGCTTAGAGCTGCTACTAATTACTGCCGTATTCGGGGGAATCGAGGTGTTGGCTCAGAGGAGTGGGCCATTCGCCTGGACCACAATGACAGTGTGACTGATCTGTCTGTACGGTGGTGGCTTCTGTCGCTCGGCGGCCAGCGGCGGTGGCCGAGACTGTCGAGAGGTCTTGCTCGGAGAGTGCGCACTGCTCTGGCCCGGCAGTCTGGACGGTGGTGCTGGATCCCTCCCAGCTCTCGTCGCTCGCAATCATCGACGCCGTCGACGCGTCCCTGTCGCGCTCCGTCGGCGCGATACCCGAGTCACGTGACACGTCCGAGGAGGCCGCGGCGGGGACAGTCGTTCTCCGTTGGTCCCTCCAGGACCCTCGGACGGTCTGGTCGGCCTCAAAACTAGCCTCGATGACGTCGCTGGAGCGTCTGCCGGACCGCACGGCCTTCTCCGACCCCGGCTGACTGCAGGGGATGGCGTCATCGTCGCTGTCTTCATCCGAGATCACCAGCGGCCGCGGACGGCGCCTCTCGCTGGCGGGCGGCGCGACCACTTCATCCTCGTCATCGGATATCACCACGGGACTGGACGGACTGCCGCGCTCGGCGGAGTCACCCGACCGCCCCGTCGGGACGGACCGGTCCCGCCGCCTCCCGCCGGGGACAGACTCGGAGTCGGAGTCGGAGTCACGCGAGAGGCCGGCCGGCGGCGGCGGCTGGCGCGGCGTGTGCCACGTCAGTAGGCGAGTCCGGTCCGGCGCCGCCCGTTCCGGAGACGGTGAGGCGGGGATGAGTTCCACCGACGACGACAGGCTCTCCTCCATGGCTGGTGGACGCTGGTGACGACGTTCCTACGTCCAACACTCCTGACCGCTGCTAACAGTGCATAGAAGCGCCGAACTGAGGGAGGCAGAGGAAATAATGTACTTCATCAGGCACTATAGAATATTTGGGTTCGGAGGCATATGGGCAGCCCTTCCAGTAGACGATCAGCCTGTCAGTTCGGAAAAGTTAATAACAAGTACTTGTAAGTGACGAGGGCTTGAATGAATACATGATGAAAGGAGCGGTAGCTCATGCGCGGTAGGCATGATGAAAATACTGTTGTGTGTACTTGTTAATAGCACTTGTTTTACTATCCAGTCATGTAAAATAAAATGGTCAATTTTTCTCGCACGTTTCATTTCATTATCATTGAACCGTCGTGCACCGCAGCAGCGGCGGCGGTGAGCTGCTCCCATGCAGCTGTGTTGCACGATGGTTGTAGGTTGATGACGGTTGACAGAGCGCCGGCTGGGAGACGGAGACGCAAACGCAGCGTCGGCGGGAGCGAGGCGGTGCTGTCGGCGTGCAGGGCGGTGTTTCACCGACGCTGTCAGCGCATCTCGCGAGCTGACGTCACACACGAAGCCCATTGCTCCAACACTACCACAAGCCGTGTGATGTCAGCTCGCGAGATGCGCTGGTAGCGTCGGAAAATCTCTGCATATTTTCTTCTGTTTTTGCCGTATGTTTATCAGCTGTTCGGAGTGCGTGTCACACTGCTAGCGTTCTGTGTTCTGCGCCTGTCGGAGCGGGTCGGGTCCCGGGGCTGCCCAGTGCCCCGCTCCTCCCTTCCTCTGTCGTGTCGTTTACGCCTCCGCTGGCTGTGCCGCTGTTTCCGCGATGGGCGGCTGGCGCGGCGGCGGCCGTGGGACCTCTGCCGGAATGATAGAACTAGAAGGGCGATAATTTAATAAATTTATATGCTTTTAGTGTCTGTATTTCGAGTTTGGACCCTCCCATAACGGAAAATATCGATTGAAACGTCTGCGAGTGCTGAGACACCATTGAGGACTGAGGTAAGAGCCCGCATAGGCCGAGTTGGGCCGAGTCACAATGGAATTGGGGCCTGGTGCATGGTTGGGTCGAACTAAGTTCCCTGGTTTGAATTAACGAGCAAACATAATTAGATTAGCCCATAAAACCATTAATCAACTTAATATCGGCAAATCCATGTCCGTATTCAACTTAATATTCAACGTAGATAACCGGACCTAACCAACAAGAAGTTTTGACAGCGGAATTGCGTAGTGTTATCTAAAGAACTGCAGTAAAATAGTGGTGGAAATTTAGGCGGGATTTCCAAACTTTCTTATGAGACAAAATATGCGCATCTCGCCGCAGAGCAGCTCGTTCGTCTTGCAGGTCACGGTAAAAACTAAAAACCAAAGTAAAAACAGTTAAAGTAAAGATAAATTCAAGCCGATAAATTGGGCACAAGCAAGGCGGCACAAGGTGGATAACACTCGACTGGGCTACAGTGTTATACACTGCTTTGTCTGCAAAAGGTAAGATTTCACAATTTACACACTGCTCTGGCTAATGCGTGACGCGCCGCTCTTCATTTTGGACGGACGCCATTCTGGTGATTTTTAAGACCTTTGCAGCCCTATCAAATCACACATTTCAGTTGGGGAAACCATGGGGAAACTACGAGGCGAAGATCCAAAAATTGATCGGTCAATGAATAGACTTAAGATGACCATATGGGCATATATTGATATGGGCATAAATGTAGCCCTTACTACTACGGGTGAGAAACGGTACCTACAACGTGCTGTTCCTTGCGGTATCATATCATCTCCACTTATCAGAGAGAATAGGCTTCCATTTTGCAATAGGAATTAACGTGATTTGATTAAATTTGGTGTATTCACTCGAAAATGGCAATAGAAAACGGCTTTTCTGCAGGTTCTGGGCCCAAATTCAGCTGACCATTCAATAAATGGATCAGTGTTTTGAAGAAAAAAAATGTTAAAAAGATTAAATTTAATTACAATAAATCAGGATATTTAGTTTTAAAATAATAACTTAAACACAACTAAAAAAAAACAAACAAAATGTTAAAATTCATGACATTTTAAAACCACGGCTCTGCTTACATTTTTTGCTGCGTCTGTTTCAACCCGCCATATTTGCCAATCACTTTGACCTTGTATTGTAACTGCAATTTAGAGCCGCCAGGGGCCAGTGCATCGTGCACCGAATTATGGTCATTGCCCTGCCCACTGCAGCCGTTAATTGCCTGATTGGCTGATCAAATTTTAGTTTGGCGCCTGGTAGTTTCCCTATTGATTTCTATAGTCAGAATCTACTTTTCCTTGCTAAATAATGTGGAAACCATCATGAAGACACTCAGGTCGCCACCTTACTCAGGCATGCAGTACAAATCTCAGGCTAGACTGGAAAAAATACATGTTATGCCGAATATGTTCGGCGTGATGGCCGGATTGCGCCAAAAGTATATGCGCACCATGCACGTCCAGCGTAAATTCGCATGTCTGAAATTCAGCGCATGGAGGCGGACAAAATGTTTCGGCGCAGGGGGTCGCATATTTTTTTGCCGAAATACAGTCACCGAATTTATGCGGTACGCTGGTCAATCTAGCAGCAGATTCGCCCGCTGGCGGCTCTTGAGAGGTTTCGGGACGAGACATCTCCGCCCCGGTCGTCACGTGCTTGAATTGAACTGGCGAGCAGCCCCGAGTCGAGTCCACTCAGGGGAGGAGTGGCTGCCCAGTTGGGGCCTCAACCCTCGGCGTGAAGAATGGAGATAGGTATGGAAGACCTTGTTGAACATCGCCAAGCGCCGTTAAGCAATACTGCATTGGGTTCCTGCCCACTGTGGTATCGAGGGGAATGAGAGTGCGTCTGCGGACGACCTGGCAAAACAGGCGGATGCCCTGCCCTCAAACACCCGCTCGCTGACCAGGGCGGTTCATTATGCGGCCTTGCATCAATGGCGCGACAACTGCTCAGGAACACTATTCAAGCCACTGCCGCCGCTCCCTATCCCCGGAGAGGACCGAGAGGATGCCGTTTCGGTGCACAATATACGGGAGACAGGCAGAGGAACCTCTGTTGGACGATAGACCTCGGTTTGGTCCGACCCCCTCCCGACCATTCGACCCTTGATCGGGATAGATAGGGCCCTGTAGTGAAAAAAAAACATATTGCTCATGGCAAGAGGAAGCAAATGCGGTGTTGAGATCTTATCTATATCATTGGCTGACCTTTTGGGTCAGGCCAATCACAATGACCTATTTGCCTCTGGGATATTTTGTCTTCTCTGGCTTATATGGCCTTGTTCTCTGGGGTATTTTAAGGTACTGATTCTGATTTTCACACTAGTTTTGTTTGATAATGCATGTGTGCATTTGGGGTAGGTCGTGTGTAGAGGTACTAGGTAAACAGTTGCTATTGGCCAGTATTTACACCAATGATGCCTCTGTCACATGTAATATGTATATTCTCTGAAAGTAGTTCCCAAATCCTCAAATGAATGCTAAATTTGTGATTGGCTCCAAAAACTGCTCATTCAAAATAAAGTCAAATGGTGTCACCAAGTGGCAAATACTATTGGTCTCAAGATAAGGGCACAGGTGACCTGTAGTTATGATGCGGTGAATAGCAGGGCGTGGAAATCCAGGACACCCAGCGGGGCGAGGCTTAAATTAAACAGAAATTGGGAAATGAGGAAATAGATAAAGCTAGATTTCAGGTGAAAAATTGTGATGCATTTATGACTGTATGCAACCAATGGGGACAACCAAAGATGCACATTACAAATACACATGCATGCTCAGTATAAGAGCGTGCACGTTGAAGTGGCCCACCACGGCAGCAAGTGACTGTGTCCCGCTCTGTTCCCGCGCCGCCAAGTCAGCCGCCACCATGGACAGCTACACAGTTCTGCTGTGCACGGAGCCACCAGCCGATGGACAGCTGGACGCCCTGCTGGAGGAGCTGCGAGACGCCGACGCGCGCGCGGACGCCGTGGGCGCAGCGTTTGTGTCACTGGTGCGTCCCAGCAGCTCTGGAGGGTCGCCGGGCTGGCGCCGGCTCAAGGACGCGCTGAGCGGCGACGAGCTGGAGCGCGGCGGCGCGGCGGCGGACGTGTGCGGCGCGCTGGACGCGCTGGCTGACCGCGTGCCCACGGAGCGGGATGTGTCTGTGAGTGTGGTGTGGCTGTGCGGCGCGCGGCTGCCGGCGCCCGAGCGCAGCGGTCTCCTGTCGGCGCTGCTGCGCTGGCGGCTCTGGCTCGGCGCGCTGTGTCAGTTGAGAGCGACTGGTGGCGGGTCGCAGCTATCCACCTGGCGCCGCCTCCTGGACGCCGACAGTACCGCCCCGCTCCGGCCGACGTTGCGTTTGCGTCTCCGCCTCCCAGCCGGCGCTCCTTCAACGGTCATCAATCTACAAGCATCGTGCGACACGGCCGCCTGGGAGCAGCTGACTGCCGCCGCTGCTGCGATGCACGACGGCCAGTCAGCAGCACTGGCTCTGCTGGATGGTGCCGAGGTGGTGGCCGAGATTGGGGCCGACTCGGTGCCCGCCGCTGCCCTCACCGACTGCCGGCTGCGGCTGCAGCGGCTGAGCGCGGCGGCGGCTCAGCGGGAGCGCTGCCGCTGGGGTGACGGTCGGACGGCACTCCTGGTCCGTCTGCTGGCCGCGCCGGTCGGAGACGGCGACCGACGCCGCGACGCCGAGGACTGGCGCCGCATGGCGGTCGATGGACGACCGCCGGACCGTCGCGCGCCGCCGCCCGCCGCCCGACCTCTTCACTTCGTCATCACCGCAGGCGCCGACGGTGACGGCCTGATGACGCTGCTGGCGGCGGCGGAGGTGGCTGCGCTGCCGCACCAGCCGCCGGAACTCAGTCTGAGCGAGCTGCGCGCCCTGGCGGCCGGTATCGGCTGGGCAGCGGCCACCGAGCTCGTGTGCCGTCTCTCGGGCTCGGCCGAGGAGCCCGCCGGCTGGCCGGAGCGGCGCGGCCTGGCGCACTGGCAGGAGGTGCAGCGGCGCGCGGCGCCGGACGTCGGCCGGCCCGCCGCCGACTCGCTCGTTCTGGACGCTGACGGGATCCTGGGAGCGCTGGCGGGTCTGTCAGTGCCCGTCGGAGCGTGGACAGCGGCCGACTCTCCGCGGCGACTGGAGGCGGTGCCGTGGCCGGAGGTGGCCGAACAGCACGCGCCGGGTGTGTACTACAACACATCGGCGGCGGCCGAGGAGCGGGAGCTGCGCGCCGCGCGTCTCCGTGAACGCTGCGTGGCTGCCGAGACGGCGTGTACGTGCTCAGTGTGGCGCTCGGACGCCGTATCGGTCAGTAAGGCTGCGCCGACACCGGCCAGCCGCAGCTCACCGCGGCGTCGGCCGGCCTCCCGCACCGGTCCCCAACCGACCAACAAACAGCCGCACCCTACCCCGGCCGACCGGCCGCGGCAGACAGAGTTCCGACAGCGACTGGCCAAGGCGATTCAGGGGGCGCTGGGGGAGCACGGCGTGGGTGCACGGGACACCATGTACCGCAGCTGCGCCCGTAAACTCGCCACGATCGTGCGCGCCTACCTGCAGGACGTGAAGGGTGCGGGCGAGACGTCGGCGCGTCAGATGCTGCAGCTGGCGCGGGTGCACGTGAAGCACGTGATTCAGGTACAGCGTGAACTCCAAGGGACCAGCTGAGTTGTGAACTTGTGAGGGGAATGGGGAAGGCTGGATAGAGGAGTGGGACATTTTAAATGACAGCAGTTTGGGAGAGAGTTCGGGCGGCGTGTGTATACTGGCGACCTGTGGTAGTCGTGTGCTGTGTGATTGAGAGTGCGATGAACGAAAGTGTTCGCACATCGAAAGGTGACAAGGTTGCTGAGAAGTGAGGGATGGTACATAAATCTGTGTCTGTCAGTTATGTTGGCTTTGAACGTCGTGGGTACTGT